TCTCTCTCTCTCTCTCTCTCTCTCTCTCTCTCTCTCTATCACGTTCTCGGGGCAAAAAACAAACAAACAAACAAACAAACAAAAAACAATCAAAAGGTTTAATTTGACGAGCCTGAAGGTGGCCAGAGACGCTAGACGACTCACCCATTCGCCGTTAATGATGAGATCCTCGGTGCAGCCAACGAAGAATGGCGGCCCGTGTGGGAGCTTCCTGAGATAGCTGACGGTGCTGCCGATGTAGGTCGTCGAGAAGGAGGTGTAGGTTGCGTTGGCACCCTCGTTCAAATTGATCGGATATATGGTTTGCTCCTCGTTGGCGGACAGCACAAGGTGCGTGGCGTTGATCGCTACGAAGACCTTCTGCCAGCTGGAGTCGTTCAAGCCGCTGCCGATGAAGACGCCGTTCCACTTGTTGAGGAGGCTCGAGTGGAGGTTGAGCTTGCCGCCCACGAGCTCGAGCATGTAGTAGGTTGGACCCTTGCCCATCGCCAGCAGTCCATTCGGTAATGTCGTGCGAAATCGAAACTGAATGTCGTAGCCCTCTTCGCGGCTCGTGTTCACCGTCACCAGGGAACTGCCGCTCAGCGACATCGTCGTTACCTGTGCTCGGTCGTCACGATCAAATGATTTCGGGTCTGCGCGGGGTGTAGATAGGAGAAGGTCAGTGCTACCCACCTGTTCCTGCCCTCGTGGTTAGAACACGGTTAATGGAAAGCATGCGGACAGTTAAAATAAAGACGGTTAAGTGCAATGGCCATTAATCGTGTAATCTGCGTCGGTACTTTAATCGTTAATCGTTAATTAATAATTAATAATTCAATGTGCAATTAATTCCCTCGGTTATTGGGTTATTAGTGAAGTATTGGGAGGCTCCGATTTCTACTCGAGAGGCGATCTTATCGAATCTTATCGATTCCACTCGACATGGAACATCAACTCGTCTCATAATGAATATCAACGCTTATTCGTGCTTAGTTCTCTGCCAAAAATAAACTATAAAGCTTTTACAGGGATATGACTTTGTATCGTTAATTCGTTTATTGGTAGTGAAAGCGAATAATTTTCTATTTACGGCCGAGTCGTTCTTATCGCGCTCTTGCTCATTTAATTACTCCACCACCAAGCTACATTATATACATCCGAGCTATATTGAAAAAAATTTCTTAATTTGTGAGCTCGCGAGAACGCGTGTATCCTTACAAAGTCGCTAAACGTCAAATTCTCTACCAAGGCACCCATTAATTAAAAAGTTATATTATTTATAGACAAGTAGCGCAGATGCGCGTGCATTAGGAATGTAACGTTCCTTCTGTTTCTTTCTTTCTTTCTTTTATTTTCTTTTGTTTTCGCTAGTAATGCACAACTTCAGAGTCACCAGCTCTTGCGCAAGTGCGAATAATACGTCGCGTGAAATGTGCGTTAAGTAAGTTAAGCAAGTGCTCGCGGAAAGTATATTAGAGAAATTGCACGAAGTTGCATTGCCAGTGCGTTGGCGAATGAGCGAGGAAAGGAGGAGCGAATTCGAGGCGCAACGAAGCTGTGCCAATGAAGAAAAAGTGAGCGCGTGTGCTTTGCACGTGCAGAATATAAATCATTATCGAGTGGCCTCGAATTGATCTTAGCGGGCCAGGCTCCTTGGCTCCAGCGAGCTACGATTATTATTCCCCGTCACCCTGTAAATGAATTAGTCTTCGTACTTAAAGCCATAGAGAACGCATAATTAAGCGAATGGGATTGATTGAATGAGAGAGATTCAATAGAATTAATTGGATAGGGATGTTGAATTAATGATGTTGAATAACTGCTCAATGTTAACGAAGCGAAGCAAAGTAAAGCGACGAAGGGGAGCAGTTGGTCGATGGGTAAGGCCGAGGTTCGCTGGGCCCGAGAGCCCCGCTTGGAAACGAGTGGCCGTGACCGTGTCCTCGTGACCAAGACGACTCACGTGATTGCATATCTCCCCGTGGAAGCCGTTGGGACAGGTGCAATTGAACTTGTGCTCGGTCTCGTCGACGAGGTACGGCCAGCATGTGCCGTTGTTCATGCAGGCGTTGCCCTGGCAGCCGATGAGCGGCACCGAGCAGTTCTTCCCTCCGTATAGGGCCTCGCAGCTGCAGACGTAGTCGGCCCGTCGGTCGTAGCAGATCCCGTGCTCGCAGGGGGCGTGACGCTTACACTCGTCGATGTCGATCTCGCACTTGTCGCCCTCGAAGCCCTCGTCGCACTCGCAGGTGTAGCCCCCGATGCGGTCCATGCACACGCCCTCGAAGCACGGATTGCTCTCGCACTCGTTGATGTTCGTCTCGCAGTTCTTGCCCGTCACGCCCTGCACGCAAATGCACTCGTACCTGAAAACGTTAAGCGGGCGCTTTCAAAAGAGCCGTTATTAACTCGGCGATGTCGAACGATCTTGATCGATCTTCCGCCGATCCCGTGCCGTTCTCCAACACGAACCCCCGTCCCAATGCCAATCCCATGGCCCAAGCTGCGATCTTCCGCGCCTCATTGTCCCGTCAATGGCTCTCGTATCTCTAATTTCTTCGCGAACGATTAAACGAGGCTCGAAAAGCGCAACATTAATATTCGGGGTGAGACCGAGCCAATTCGTTACTTCGACTCGATTGACTCTTAAACTCCCCGTCACCGTCCCCTCCCACCGTCCCCCTTCCCCTATAACGGAATCGTGATCGCGAGGATCTAATGGTGTCCAGCAGTAGAGCCACAATGTCTGGTCCACAGTGTCAGTGAGCTCGCGCATTACGTGTCCGACCCGTTGACTCGTCGCAGCAAGCTACTTAGGGACTTACCCGCTGGCGTTGGCGTAGCTGAACTCTTGCATGAAGATCGCTGGCTTGTTCGTGACGTCCTCATTGTAGAGGTTCTCGTTGGACCTCTCGAGGCAAGTGCCGTTGAATTGGCAGGGCGAGCTCTCGCACTCGTTAACGTCGATCTGACAATTCTTGCCGGTGTAGCCCTCGTAGCACTTGCACTTGTAGTCCTTAATCTCATCGAGACACTCAGCCCCGTTGACGCAGGGATCCGAGAGACAGTCGTCGATGTTGGTCTCGCAGTGGTCGCCCTCGAAGCCCGTGTCCGAGCAGTCGCACGCGTACGCGTTGACCTCGTCGATGCACTTGCCCTTGTTCTGGCAGGGCTGGGACTCGCAGTCGTCGACGTTCGTCTCGCAGTCGAGGCCGGTGAATCCGGGCGAGCACACGCACGTATACCTGAATGGGGAGTCCTCGTCAGTATTAAAAAAAAAAAAAAAATTCGCGCGTTCGGGTAATCGCGCGACGAGGACACTTTGCTCCGTACGAGCAAGATCGTCGGGTTTGGCAGATAAAAGTAATTGGGAGTACCGTCGCGGCACTCTCGCACAATTTATGGTAAAAAAATTTTCACGACGAGAGGAAAATTGTAGAGCAGCTATTTACGGGAGTTATGATGCTTTAACTTGTTTAACCGTGTCCCGGGCGATTATCTCGTAGAGCAATTGCAAGTGTAGAGTTGGAACTGACCTTGCGATCTCGTCGACACAGGTCGCACCGTTCTTGCACGGTGAGTTCTCGCACTCGTCGACGTCCTGGTCGCAGGTCTTGCCCGCGTAACCTGGCGGGCACTGGCACTCGAACGTGTTGATCTTGTCGATGCAGGTGGCGTTATTCTTGCAAGGGCCGCAGAGACACTCGTTGATGTCGAAGTCGCAGTGATCGCCGGAGAAACCGGGCCTGCAAAAGCAGTCGTAGCTGCCAAGGCTATTCACGCAGATGCCTTTGTTACAGAGCGAGCTGCCAGCGACCTTGCACTCGTCCACGTCTTCGTCGCAGTTCGAACCTGCAACGGCAATAATGTTAACGTTACGTCGACCTCGGGCTTCGCGGTTAATCGCGCGGTTAATGGCGGCGTCAAGCGCGATCGTTATATCAATAAAAACTCTTTCCTCGATGCTACACGAATGAAATTTATAATTTGTTTTTTAAAAAATTCAGCGCTTGTCAAATATTTGAAATTGATTTTTGAATGTGAGGGGCGTCTAGATGGTCGTGGATTGTCGCGGTTATGGAACGAAGCACGGCTATGACCCACCGAGGTGGATTATTTATAAAAATCTTTTTACGGACTTGCGTAGGTAGGAGGAAGCGACGAACGCCGTTTTTCCGGCACTTGACAAGAGAAGACAGGGGGGGGGGACATCGCGTGGTTTGTAATAGAAACGCTGCACTTACCGGTGTAGCCGGCCGGGCACTCGCATCTGTAGCCGTCGTCGGGCAGTTGTATGCAGGTGCGATTGCCGCAGGGTTTGTTGACGCAGGGGTGGATGGCGAGGGTACAGTTGGGCTCCCTGTAGCCATCCCTGCACCTGCACTCGTAGCCCGCGACACCGTCCACGCAGACTCGTCCCTCGGGGCAGGCGACGCCCGCGCACTCGTCGATGTTCACCTCGCAGAGCTTGCCCTCGAAGCCGAGGGTGCATTCGCAGGCGAAGTCGCGCCGCGACTTGGTACCGAGGACGCAGCTCCCGTTGTTGGCGCAGGGTTTCGCCGCGCAGGCGTCGTACTCCCGCTCGCAGTTCTCCCCGATAAAGTCCCGGGTGCAGTTGCACGAGTAGCCGTTCGCCCGGTCGACGCACGTGCCGCCATTCAGGCACGGCTGCGACTGGCACTCGTCCACGTTTATCTGGCAGTTCTTACCTGGAGGAATGGCAGCAGTTTATTTACCGGGAATAGCGAGGTGGTCGGGTTTCCCCTCTACCGCCAACTTTCGTTTAAGTAGGTTTATAAAATTAAATTAATAGCTCTATCGTCATACACGACTGCTGTTTACGTTCTGTTGTCTACGTTCACCTCGATATAAATACAGCTACATAAATAGATAGATAGATAGATAGATAGAGAGAGAGTGAGTGAGTGAGTGTGTGAGCGAGTGAGTGAGTGTGAGAGTGTGAGAGTGAGTGAGTGAGTGAGTGAGTGAGAGAGACAGTGTGCGCGCGTGTGTGTGCGTGTGTGTCAAAGACACAGTATCTACGCCGAGAAATACTGTATTGTGGAAGAATAGGCTTTGGTAGGTTAATATTTCCGTTATCGAGGGGGAATTTAATGGATTAACGTGAGCATTAATGGAACAAGGATCGGAGACGCACGAGCATGCTCGAGGTAAACAGGATTGCATGTTATAGACGATTTAGAAACGAGGTGATTGTATAGTAGAAACTCAAACCATTAATTTTGAGAGCAAAACTCGCTCGAGCACATCTACTCGATTTAAGATCACATGCTTCCTAATAGCCTCTTTATTGAAATGGTCACCAAATTAAGCATACGTCTTTACTTTCGGCACCACGCCACCAAGTCTCCTTCATAATAGCCCGGATATAAAAGGCAAGGTAAGAGGATGATGAGGGGAGAAGAAAAATAAGCAGCTGCCATCCTTGGCAGATAATTATCGTCTGGTAGGGAACGTAGGAAACGGCGAGCAAACCATTGGACACGTCGTGGTATCACGACGCTTGCGACATATTAAAGAATGGGGTATGGGGCTAGGATATTTATCTCGAAGTTGGGTTGTCGGGGAGGGGGTTAAGTAGAGGAGAGTGATCAATTGGGGGGAAGGGGCTTGACGATGCAAAGGCGCATGCGATAAGCGACTAAATAGTTTGAGAGGTCAAGGTTGCGAACGATGAGCATGGAGCGTGAGTTTACCGGTGAAACCGGACAGGCACTGGCAGTAGTAACCATTCAGCTGGTCAATGCAGACGCCGGCGTTGCGGCAGGGGTCGCTGCTACACTCGTCGACGTCGACGGAGCAATCGGGGCCCGTCCAGCCTGGCTCGCACACACAGTAGTAGCCCACCGACTGCGGGCCCAACGCACGGATGAAACCATCAATCAGCCATTATAACGCACGAGCGCACGCACACGCTCACGCAAACGCAAACGTACACTCGCAGAAAGAGAGGCAGCGACACAGCACAGCCGGGGAAAATTGGACAGGCGAGACGCGGTTGGGAGCGGTGCTTACGAGCTTAGCGTCTCCGCCGATGCGGAACACACCGAGCAGACATTTTTACACTCGCCCCATTCGATTGTCGGAGACTATCGGTTGCTCATGCACGAGAGGAATTGGAACACGCGCGTCAGTAGTGGTAGGGTAATTCATTGTACACGGTATATTAAATGGGATGCAGTTCACGTGTTTACGTAATGCCCGATGACTATGTTTGTTAAGTAGTCGTTCCTTGTCCTTACTTAATCAATCGAGGTAGGGAGAGGGGAGGAAAAAAATTATTTACAAATTTACGAACATCGAGTTACTAGTAATGTGAAAACTCTCGGTGCGATCCAATTTTTTCGAGCTGTGCAATTAGACAGGACGCGCGGTGCCCGTAATAATCTGGCCTCCTTGCGCGCGGGATTTATTATCATTGTGGCAAAAGCCTATGAAAATGTATGTCGCGTGAAGAAACGAGATCGAGCATTTGACGTGCTCTAATCGAAACGCGAAATACAATTTATTCATTGTCGATGGATATATATAAATATATCCTGTGCTTCATCCTTGACGATGAAATAAACATAGAGTAATGCGATAGACTGCTTTAAGAATCGAAAAGAAAGAAAGATCAAAAGAAGAAAGAAAGAAAAAAAAAATAAAGATCAAGCCAAAAGTGGCTGTTTCCTTGGGAAATTAAAAATCCGTAAAGTCGCGAACCGGAAAAAGTCGGAGTGTGGCAATGGAGTTTGGCCAAATGTTCGCCGTGGAACCGATCGATAATACGGGCACCTCGTCGTCATCGTGGTCGTCGTAGTCGCAACCGCTGGCCTCTTCGTCCTTCTGCGCTCTCTCATCCTCGTGGACTACTTACGTAATCACGACACTCGGTGGCTCGTTTGCAGGGTCTATGGGTGCTGCAGGTCACGGGCTCCTTGCACTGGTGACCGGTCCAGAAGCGCGGACACTGACAGGCGGCGCCGCGCGACGTTTCGACGCAGTTGCCCCCGTTGTAGCAAGTCGGGCACCAGCTCAGCAAGGACGACTGACACGTCGGCCCTTTTACATTATCGTTACCTTTCGTTACACACGCCCAAACAATGACCAATCAACGCACACACACACAAGCGCGCGCGCGAACGCACATACAGGCACACGTCCCGGTGACGAACATCAAAGCGTATTGTTACGCGAGCAGATGTCTTTTGGAATCTTTGGACGAGCTCTCTTTCGAGCTTTTTCTTTTTAACTCAGCTGATAGGGAGGGAGAGAGAGAGAGTGAGTGAGTGAGTGAGTGAGAGAGAGAGTGGGGGGGGGGTGGAAGGAACGAGAGTAGGAGTGAGCGAGTGGAAATGATTCCGGAAGTTACTCGGTTGTATGGACATCCGAACTGCTCATCTTGTATTTTTTCTTTCCACATACTACACGGCTTAATGCGTTTCTTACTTCAGCCAAAGAATTTCGATAATTTCTTTTCAATTATTTATTTTTTATAAAAATAACATCTGTGCCCTTGAAATTTTATCTTATATGCATGAAAATTCTATAATTCTCCATCAAATAACAATAGACTTAAAGAATACGAATAATTCTGTTTAATTTACATTACATATGAATTTTCGTTAATTAATTTTCCAAATAGTCTCTGTCATACTATAAATATGTATTAATATATCGATTTAAAAGAAAAGAACAAAAAAAGAAATTTTTTTTTTTTTTTTTTTTTTTTTTTTGTATAAATTACGATTACCTCGTTCTTATCACTTAATATACATTCCAATCGACTATGCTTGAGATCAGTTTTGTCGACAGTTATAAAATTTGATCATTTATTCGACGTTCTAAAATTTGAATAAGCATACAAATGTAAAAACATTTTCCTTGAGCATTAACTAGATGATGTAAATTTAATGGATGCCTTACCGCGGTTGAAGATTAATAGTTTATGAATTACTTTATGTCTTCGACCTATGAAACTATAAATTTTTAAGTTATTTTCCCATGCGTACATAAACACAAGCGTATGTATGTATTTGTCAATTGCATGCAGGTGCAAGATTAGCCGAGATTTACGAGAGGGCATGAGGTCTAAATTTGGAGATAAATCCTCCAAAAATGGATGTTAAAAATAAAAAATAGAAGCGCACTTAAATCTTAAGCAAGAGCTCAACAATGATAATCCACGTCCATTCGAGAAAAGTGACATTAAAATATCATGGAAATTTCGCGTCTGATGATCTTTCCATTTTTTTTTTTTTTTAACCTTCCTTCGCCTACTTGTCTTAGTCGTTTTTAATTTCATACGCGCATAAGGATATTTGTCATATCATTACCCACTCCCAATGTAGATTATAACCTTCAGAATATACCGAGCAATAAATTATTGAAGGAACGGCGTCGAGGCACAGCGAGATTCGACTCGCAAGTATCGTCGCGATTTAGGCACGATTGATCCGTTTCGACGCGTCATCAGATGATCTTTCCACGACGATGGAAATGCGACGATGGAAATGCGACGAGACCGATGTGTCAGGTATGGGGTAAGGAAACAAGAGGATGAGTCGTCAAAGTCGTCAAACGATCCCAAGACGGATGAAGAAGGGCGAAGCGAGTAGGAGGGAACGAGGGAACGCGCATCATCATCATCATCGTCATCATCATCCCCCCCCCCCCTGCATATGGTTACACTGGGGGGACTGGGCTCGTTCCCGGGCTACTGACCTTTCCACTCGGGCGAGCAGAGACACTCGAACCTGTCTCTGAGGTTGTTGCAGGTGGCGCCGTTGGCGCAGGGTCCACTCGCGCAATGGTTGATCGTGCAATTTGGCGGCTCGCCGAGGTAGCCGAGCTTGCAGATGCACTGGGGCCCGTGGGCGTCCTTCAGGCAGAAGCTGTTTGGCGGGCAGACGAGGCCCTCGCAGCCAGGTCCCCGGGATGATTGGTCGCAGTGCTCGCCGACGAAGCCGGTGCCCGTGCAGTTGCACCGGTATCCGCCAACTTCGTCGAGGCAGTGGGCCCCGTTACGGCAGGGACGCGCCAGGCACTCGTTGATGTTTAGCTCGCAGTTCTGGCCCTCGAAGCCCCGGGGACAGACGCACACGTAGCCGCCGTAGATGTTGTAGCAAGTGCCCTCGTTGAGACAGGGATTATCACCGCACTCGTCGATGTCCACCTCGCAGTTGGAACCCTTGTACCTGGTCAGGCCCGTCAGCTTACGTTAGACACGTCCGTTCGTTAATGGATTTATCCGCCCTCGCGTCCCCCCCCCGCCCCCCCCCCCCCCGTCACCAAAGATAACAGTCGCTGCTACTTTATAAGCGATCAGGGCCTAGTGCACATGTACACACGGGCTCGCACACAAGCATAAATAATAATCGGGCGTGGGCGCGCGCGCGCACAGAGAGAAAAGCTCCATTCCCTCTAACGAAGCGTAACTTCGAAAGATCCCCGAGGCCTTGTCGATAGTCATAAGTGCGTGGGCGTAAAGGAGATCGAGACTCTGCTTACCCGGTGCGGTCGCAGTTGCAGGTGTAGCCGTTGACGGTGTCCGTACAGTTGCCCTTGTTCTTGCAGGGATGAGAGGCGCACTCGTCGACGTCGATCTCGCAGTACCTGCCGGACCAGCCGGGCCTGCAGTCACACCTGTAGTCGCCCTCGGGGAGCTCGACGCAGGCGGCGTCGTTACGGCAGGGGTCGCTCGTCTCGCAGAGGCGCGCACCCGCGGCGGACTCGCAACGCTGGCCGACGAAGCCCGGGGCGCATTGGCAGCCAAAGTCCCCGTGCTGATCCTCGGCGCAGGTGCCCCCGTTACGACAGGGGTTGCTCAGGCACGCGGAACCTGTTGGCGAGGGCGCACGAGGCGCGGGATTAGATCCGGGCTGGCTTGGATCCGGGGTCGCGGGGACTGGGGCACCTCGAAATTCCTTCCTCACGGCCGTCGCCTCGAGAGAGTCCGGCCCGGGCGCCTTGCTCTTCTGTTGTTTAGTTAATATGCTGGCCGAAACTCTCGGCGCGACGGCCGTCGGGCTTCCGTTGCTCGCGAGGGCTCATCTTATAATATCTCCATAGTTTTGCCGAGTGCCGTGGTTAAGCGTCTCATAGCAATTTTAGTCGACCGATAGCCGATGTGCTTAGTACAAAGTTATTTCACGGACTGTCTAGATCTGAAGGAGTGAGCCGAAGATTTGCAAAGCCGTTTGAAAAGATAGATTTGAAAAGTAGTTGCGATCACTTTCACAGCGGACGGTAATTTTCACTTCGTGAGCTGCTTGTTCGGTCGTTGGCGATTTACGAAGTTGGACGTATTTCTTAGCGATGTACTCCCGACTCGGATGTCGGGAGGGATCGTCCGAATGATCGAACAAGATTCGCACTCGGCTCATTCAAATTTAGAGCAGCAGTATATAGCATTAATAAGATAAGCTCCCGTATAAAATGATAGTCGATCGTGTGTACTCGTAGTAGTGCAGCAGTTTACTTGTTGTATTTTACTTTAGTGGTTTTATAATACAAATATTATCAGTACGTATCAATTGTGCAACATTGCTTATGCTTGTGAACAAAGTAATTGGTGGGGATATTTTGAAATTTTTTCGGTAATTTTGAAGGTGTATCGGTCCCCTTAGACAGTCTACCAATAAAAATAAAAACGCATTACAATCGCATGTGTATCTGGCTCTTTAAATTTCTTGGAATAGAACGAAAGCCGGACTATAGAAAGCTTTTTACTTTCCTAGAAAAACATTACTCCACGTATTGACCCATTTATATTGCTATTTATACTGTCGATGTAAATAAATGAAAGGTCGATTGGAAAATTAAAAGGATCGTTAAAAATGATATGTTACTAGAGATGAATCGGTATGTCATTATTACGATTATACTCCAAATAATTTACAGAGCAGTTACGAATCGGATGTTTAATCACTAAATTTTAAAAATTTCTTTTTATGCATTACTCTTTACTCCCACTGATTTAATTTCCCTTAATTCATATATATGTATAATAATTTTATATTTGCTCTCCAATTTACGGCAATATATTTTAGTATTTGAAAATTTTTTATAATATAACTTTACTTGAAATTGCGTATTATTTACTATTATATTTTATGATAAACTTCGTTAATTATACAATAGATTTATCTGCAATACATAATTGATCGTAAATAGTACATTACTTAGAAAATAGATACTTTTTTTCCAAAAGTACTACTGACAATTAGGAATTTTTAAAGTGACACCGTCATTTTAATTGTCATGTTAAAATCATTGTCATGATTAAAAATGGTTTTAACAGTTCATTAGTACGAGTTCATCATTAAGATTATTTAATCATGAAGTAAGAAATTTCACTCGCGTATGAGAATAGAACGAAATATTTAAATATTTCGAGCCGTATTCCGAGCTTTTGCACAAAAGTAATTTTACCTTGGTCGAGCAAATTTATTTTTCGTAAATATATATATATATATATATATAAAAGTATATAGGGTTAATTCAAATAAAACTCAGTGATTAAACTTTAAGCTTCTGTGTTTCTCAAGAAGAATCTTGGTGTAAGCAAAGCGTTCTTTAGACGTGCAAAATTTCGCTTTGCATAATTGCTTTTTTACTTCTTTACGAAAGAATATTATCGAATGAAATATTCTTTAAATTATTCACAATTAAAAAAATTAATTTAAGGATTTTTTCTAGTCAATAAAAATTTCTTTTCCCAACACCACATTCATTACAAAACTAATTATTATGGTGATAATAATAATAACAATAACAACAACAACAACAATAATAATAATAATAATAATAATAATAATATTAAGAATAATGATGATGACGACGACGACGACAACGATGATGATGATGATGACGATGATGATAAATAATTAATAATAAATAATAGATAATAAGTATAATAAGAATAACAACAACAACAACAACAACAACAACAACAACAACAACAGTAATAATAATAATAAATACTAGTAATAAATAATAATAATAATAATAATAATAATAATAATAATAATAATAACAACAACAAAAATAAGTTAGAAACACTTTACACTCTTATGAATAAAATGTAAGTATATCAAATATTAGAGCAATATTAAATTATTAAAGGGTAAATTATCAAAAGTCGAATACGTACGACAGGAACGCGTACTTATTGTGCAATAACAATTCACCAAATAAAAATACCAAATCTGTAATTAATAATTGGCATAAACAGATAATCCTAAATTGCGATAACGATTCGGTAAGCAGCACCGGTTATGATTTATCCATTGAATTATCGATAATTGCGCGAAGCATTTACACAACATCGAGTCTTTAAATAAAATAATATACACACGAGTGGAATGGTGAATATTTCGTAATATTGAGCGTAGCTGTGCATTTTAAAGTGAGAAAGTAAGTGGCTTTCTCGTCGCTTTCAAGATTAATGCCACGTTCTTAAAAAAACAGATTTTACGAAAAGCCAATTTATAAAAAGAAAATATAATGGGCAGAAACGTCTTAAGGTAGCATGATTGATACTACATTGACGAGGAGTCAAGTATACTTCGTCGGGTGTACGCGAAATTTTCACTTAATACAAAAATGCCGAAAATAACCAAATCCACGCAATATGTTATGACGAAAGTTAATGGCGAATACGTCAAATTCTAAAATTAACGAATTGAGACGAGTCGTAGCGCGCGATAGTGGCAGGTGAAAGCATCATCATCGTTATCGTATACACGCACGCACACGCGCGCGCGTACTTCGCCCGGTGTCACGTGCGCCTACAATTCACGTGTCGTTTACAACGGCGGGAGCCAGTGCACATCTAATGTCAATAACGGCTATCGCACTCAAAAGTCGAGGGAAGACGAAGGACGTTGAACCGGAGTCACGGCGAAGCTCCACTCGAGGTCGATTGCTCCCCGCGTATCCAGTCAATCCTCCGCAACACGCACGCACACGCGCACACAAACACACGCGCGTTATATACAAATCGACGCGTACAAGTCATCTAATTAAACTAACTAATCGATCGCGATGCACGCGTACCCGTAAGTCAAACCGTCTCGATGGCAAGGGGATAGTAAAAGTCCCAAAGCCTATAATACATCGCGCCATGTGTCATCACTTTGACGGATATGGAGGACGGCGTATGTCCGATCGATCGAGTCTCGCTCGACAAGGATATAACGGCCTGGCCGGCTCTCGCTATCGAACTCTCCCTCCTGGTATTCCCGTTTCCACGAGGCTTATATTTGCAAACGCTGGCTTGAACGTGCGAGGGCGTCGGCTAAAGCGTCGACGAGTCCTGGAGCTCAGTTCGCAATTGGCACTGGACTTTGATGGTGAAAGGTCGGCTTTTCATCACGACGCGACGCGCCCCCAAAGGGGGAAATAATGCGATTTCGGTTGGCTGACCGAGAAACTTAGGAAACGTCACTCCTCTCCCACATTAGGCAAGACGCGCAAAAGTACTACGCGTACTCGTTCCTCGATCGCGTCTAACATAGCCTTTCTCTGCAAATTTAATAAATAAATAACCATAAAACTATATTTTCTAGGAGACTCTAATGACACTAATCAGAATATGATACATACATACAAATAACTTTAATAAGGATAAGCGCAACTATATTAAAAGCATCAAAATACTCAAAATAAATGCGTACAATCACACAGAGCTAGTTATCATGCAATAAAAAAGCACTATAATCCCAGGCTGAACGGCAACATCGTGGCACAGCTTAAAAAACTCCAGAATCTGAAAAATGCACTCGCTATTGAAAGAATTCTATTTAAAAGTCAATTACTTCGTTGTTAGCAGAGACAGGAGCTGCATTTGCATCGGGGCAATAGATTGTGCTGTGGAGTGCACCTGGCACTGATTAAAAGATAAGCACCCACTCGTCAATAAATGGTGAAGGTAATTTACGAAACGTAATCGGTGCGATAATGGGAGGGCATTACAGCCGGAGTCATTGAAGCTTTAATGGAAATTTTTTCTATGGTATTGGCTGGTATTGATACTAGTCGGATTGCTCAAATTGCTAAATTGCTCGAATGCGCGAGAAGCTGTTTGCGGCGGCACTTATTACGGCGTCTCACCGACGTGACCGAGAGCAAATTCAAGGGCTTTTCGCGTGTTGAGGATAGCCACGATCTCCAAGACCTCCGACCTCCGCAGGGCCAAAAGTAAGCGAGCGATCGTACTTACGGCGCCCGGGCCAATTTTATATGCAAAATCGTACGCGGCCACGTCGTCGCGCCAAGTAACTGAGTAATCGAAGCCTTTCAACAGCTCGCGCCTAGGGGAGTTGTGGGGCTCAGTGTGGTGTGCGATACGCAAAAGAAATAAGAAAGAAAGAAAGAAAGAAATAAAGAAAGAAAGAAAGAAAGAAAGAAAGAAGGAAGGAAGGAAGGAAGGAAAAGAAAAGAAAAGAAAAGAAAAGAAAAGAAAAGAAAAGAAAAAGAAAAAGAAAAAGAAAAGAAAAAGAAAAGTAAAAGAAAAGAAAAAGAAAAGAAAAAAGAAAGAGAAGAAAAAGAGAAAAAAAGAGAAGAAGAAAGAAAGAAAGAAAAGAAAAAGAGAAAAATTCTAATAAAGTAAACAAAAGAGCAGTGATGGGAGTTGCGTGCGTGCGTGCGTGCGTGCGTGGTTGGGTGCGTGGTGGTGGGCTCTGATCTACCATGATCGATCTGGCAGTTGTTGCCGGAGTATCGGGCGTAACAGTGGCACTCGTAGCGGTCCTGCCTGGACACGCACTTGCCGCGCATCATGCAGGGCGAGTGCTGACAGAAGTCCGTGGTCGAGGTCGCCTGGGCGGTCGCCGGCTGGGTCATCGACTGGGCCGCGCCGCTCCCTCCACCTGCGAACGTCTCGGTTAATTCGGCCTGGCGATCGACGAGCTCCCCCGTCGCCACGCACATCCGGGCGCTGTTAGTCTCACCCTCCCTCCCCCCCCCCCCCCCCCCCCCCCCTTCAAAAAAAAAAAATGTGGTACTGCACCGAGACTGCGCTTCGTTTTTCATTATTTTTTATTACCAATAATAATGATGATAATAATAATAATAGTAATAGTAATAATTATAGCGATAATAATAATAATAATAATAATAGTAATAGTAATAATTATAGCGATAATAATAATAATAATAATAATAGTAATAGTAATAATTATAGCGATAATAATAATAATAATAATAATAGTAATAGTAATAATTATAGCGATAATAATAATAATAATAATAATAGTAATAGTAATAATTATAGCGATAATAATAATAATAATAATAATAGTAATAGTAATAATTATAGCGATAATAATAATAATAATAATAATAGTAATAGTAATAATTATAGCGATAATAATAATAATAATAGTAGTAGTAATAGTAATAATTATAGCGATAATAATAATAATAATAATAATAGTAATAGTAATAATTATAGCGATAATAATAATAATAATAACAATAATAATAATAATAATAATAACAATAATAATAATAGTGATAATAATAGTGATAATAGTAATTAATAAGTGTAGTTAAAGTTCTTTGGTACGGGAAGCGCAATTTCGGCCGCGGTTACTCGCATTCTCGCGAGGTTGTACAACTTTTACAGGGATGTACAGGGTTACGGTAAGATATCTATAAAATGGCGTGATTTACAAATCTAACTGAAAGATACAAACGTCAAAATCTCAAACAGTGCGTCACACACGTGTGCTTATATAAAGCTCAAAAACAATCTAAATTACCAATCAATCTTCTACTCATCATGAAACTCTACTCGTAGCCAAAGAATTTCCAGTCAAGTTTACAGTGCTGTCATTTAAATGGCCTCTAAACATACTTGAAATTTATATAACACTCTAAAAAAAAAGTGCCACACAATAATATCAGATAAATTTTTTATTCTCACTCTCTCCTTCGTTACCTCACTCTCACTCACTCACTCTCACTCACTCACTCACTCTCATTCACTCACTCACTCACTCACTCACTCTCTCTCTCTCTCTCTCTCTTTGTCCCGCTCTCGATTTCCTCTCGTAAAAAATTCCATTCTATGACGTATGAACAAAGCGAGGTACGCATGTATTACACTGTTAAAAGCTGTAGAATATATACTTTGCACGCGAGCAGCATTTTCGTATTTAGAGTTTTAACGCTCACCAAGGAATGACAAGTCGTTCCTTCAAAAAAGCTTCGCGAGAAAAATGAGAGAACTAGGAATAATTATTATAAAGCAAGATAAGTGGAGAAAGGGAGTGAGAGAGAGAGAGAGAGGGAGAGAGAGAGAGAGAGTGAGTGAGAGAGAGAGTGAGTGAGAGTGAGAGAGAGAGAGTGAGACAGAGGGAGGTGGGGGAGTGTGGGAATGGGGTTCCGAGACCTGCAATGCTCTTATTAGTCTGCGTCGCTAATACTCATTCGACACATTCTCAAAGGGATGTGTTTGTACACTTAACGTATTTATGCTCGGCAAATAATAAATGTAGCCTCGAGCAAAGGCCACATACGTTAACTCGTAGCCTCTTTGTTAACTTCCGATACATCATTTCTTGACGCATCTTACCGTTCTTTATGACGCATTTTATGGCGAATTGCGGAAAACAAGGTGCAACGGTATGATGATGTTGAAGGAGAGAGAGAGAGAGAGAGAGAGAGAGAGAGAGAGAGGAGAGCGCGAGATAGAGACATACGCAGAGAGAGAGAGAGAGAGAGAGAGAGAGAGAGAGTCAGAGTAATAATTCTTCGTTACTTTAAATGCGTGCATGCGCTTTTTCCTAGAACAAATTGATCTCGAAACGGGACGAATGAGAAAAAAAATAAAATAAAATAAACAACTATCGAGTCAAACGCGTATTGGTGGTGGGGGGGGGGGGGGGGGGGAAGAAAAAAAAAAAAAAAAAAAAAAAACAATTATCGAGGCAAACGCGTGTGGGTGGGGGGGGGGGGGGGGAAGCGGTAAAGTGATCAGGATAGAAAAGGGAAAATGGAACGATGGTCCTGGGATCACGGCGAAGAAATCAATGGAAATTGGTAAAGAACATTGCATGACGAAAAACGGAAGGAACAAGCGATTATATAAATACACGCTCGGCGTGAATAAAATCGAAACTTTAAATTCGACTCGAAGAGATTTTAATTTTTGATTAAGCTCCGTAAAATCCATTGAATTTTCTTGTTCTTCTCATTCATTCGTTTCACCACTAATATAAATAACTTCGCCACATAAAATAGCAATGATTTTTCATATCCTCGACTTAGTCCCCCTTCGTTTTATCAGCGATTGAGCGAAAAAAGGATCGAACCGTTGCAGAAGCGAATTTGAGTCCATCGTTTGCACTTTCACGACCAAATGATATTCGTAGTCGATGCGCGGCTTTACGTAACGCGTATATTTTCACTTTTTAACCCTGGTTAATGAGAAAGGCTATACGCTGTGCTTATCGCGACGATGACATTATCCTTAAGAGCCGTGCTATCATTTATCCTTAATCGCTTATCACAAAGGACCGGTTGCATCGCGACGCGTTTCCATAGCGTAACAGGCGAGTTAGCCGACGAATAGGCCAGGCCATCGATGACGATGTTGCCTCGCCGATGTGCAGTCAAGGAGCGAGGAGGAGCGAGGAATTGGCAAAGACGTCGCTTCGTAATTATGACGTAAATAGGCGCTCGCAAGGAAATGGTGGCTTACATCCTTTCGTGTCGAGGGGACACGGTCCGAAGATGGCGTTGCTGTTGACGCTGTCGTTGAAGAGGATGCCAGGACCCTGGAGAATGCAGCCCCGAAAGCCCTCGCCGACGATGAGGGTGACGTTGGCATTGTGATCGGGCAGTGCGAGGATCTCCGGGTTGAACGTTGCGTTGGCCACCACCTGAGGCATGCGACAATCACGGCCCATTCCTTACATATCGAGCGCGACCTTTGTCGTGCGCGCCGCTCTCCTCGTACGGGAGGCTCACCTCTTTCCCCGTTAATCGTTCGAATGTTCCGATCGGTATCGCGATTACGTACACCCGCCCACCCCACTCCCTCCCTCAATCCGACGATCCGTATAATATAAACGTTGAAATTAAAAAGAATTAAAAAAAGGAAAAAGAGCGAGAAACCCTGTTCTCACGGATGATTTTCAGCTCCGTCGATTTAATCGATGCAGAAGCGGATACGCGCGAGGATCATAATTGAAGTTGCGGGTGTCGCGGGAAGGCAGACGATTTATTCCGAGGCGAATATCGCGTTCTCGATTCGTGGACGTTAACGTTTTATTAGCGAGCTGAGCGCCCTCCAAAACGAATTCAAGGATACACGAGTATACACGCGCGCGCGCAACTCTCGCGTGTCTTGTCGCAATGCTCGCGTAACCTCGACGTATTATTTAAAAGTTTCGCGCACGAGGAGTAAAAAGACTGGCGCGTTAAATAAACGAAGCCGTGGCTTCGAAATGATCGGAAAGGGTATTAGTCGTAATCCAAGGTCATAGTAAGACCGAACCGAAGGGAGCACGGCGTCGAGCTCAAGTGGAGAAACGAAGCGCGCGTCGCGAGTTCACTGACCTGGGAGTGTCCAGCGGCGCTAAGCGTGAGGTTGCCCAATCTGAAGAAGAGATTGACGTTGTGCCAGGCGTTGTCGAGGAGTCGGCTGTTGAGCCTCGCCTCGAGCCGACGCTGCTGCAATCGTGCCACGAAGAGGAGGCCCTCGTGGTCGACCTGCAGGCTCACGGACTCGGACGGCTCGAGGCGCTGCTCGAAGAGTCGGCCGGGCTCGCAGGCGCGGAAGCTCAGGCCGCTGTGTCGATGAACCGAGACGAAGGACCTCAGCCGTAGGTGAGCCGAGCCATCGAAGTAGGCCTCCCGGGGCGACGACGCTCCCACGGGATCGTCCACGGACGAGCGCTCCTGAGGCGCTCCGTAGCCGCCGCCGCTCCTCGTCAACAGCGTCGCCAGCACTGTCGAACATAAGAATAAACTTAGTTGGGCCATCGCCGTGAACGATCCTCGCCACATTCGGCGACCTACGCTGAACGACAGCCCACCCCAATGAGGTCAATGAGCTCGAGCCCCTTACTTAGCTCCTCGGAGAACTCCACTCCGAACGATGACGATCTCGTTACGCAAGCTACACACCCACGAGAATTACATTTGAACGCCTTTTAGCATTATTCCGGCTCACTTCGTGGCGACTAACCAATCATAATTGGCTTCGATGTTAATGTACGATGTTTGCGTGACGCGTGGCAGCACACAGAGCCAAAATGCTCGTCCATAAAACAACGGTCGGGACAATTTTTGTTGTCCATGAGCTCGAGCCAGCATCGGTTAAGCGAGCCTAATTGAAAAGAGCGACTTAGCCACATAGTGTTGCGACATAGCGGCGGGGGTTGGGGCGATGGAGGGGGACAGAGCCCGGAAGTATAGTCTCACAATTTTGAGCTGCCGAAGCTACGAGGTCAAAGGCACAACGAAGCGGTTGCCTTTGATATGGTGCCGAGGGAACAGCCTCGGAAGCCGAGTGTGACCGAGTGGGACGAGTGGGAGGGCGGTTTATCTCGGGAGATAAACCGTTGAGAAATCGATAGGGGGCGCGTGCGATTTGCGTGTTGATAGGTGGAACCGGGTTATCGTGGACCGCGACGCCCACGGGACCGATGTCGGCATAGTTGTCGGTGTAGAGTATTCTCAGTGGCGGTGCGGCGGTGGCATAGCAGATGGAGCGAGGGAGGGAGGGAGGTGGGGGGGGGGGAGGTTGCGATGACGCGAAGATTGTCCGTATTGTAGCCGCCGATTCTTGAAAATCGACTGTGTTAACGACGTTAGAAGTGCGTTAACGACTTAAGGCGTGCGAACGGCAAATATATTTCATTAGGGCTGGTCAGGGCTTTCTCCCTCGACTTTCTTGCTCGTTCCGACGAGATTCTTACGATTATTGGCCGATCGAGTTGATAGTGAGAAATAACGACATTCGTACTGTAATTGTAATGCCCGCGTCACGGAAGACAAATTATTCTACATACGGGATTTGCGCGTCTCTTTAATAATCAATAGGATGTATGATCTTCCCATAATGACGGGTCTAATAATTTACGATAGTCGGCGATTGATCCACCGTGACTTGGTAGCATTTTACAGCAAGCAAATACTTTTTTTTTCTTTTAAAGAGCAGCGTTTGCAGACTTCCTGTACACGAGAATAATTTACATAATTATCCAGCACTTTTAGTTATGCAAGTAATATTATGATTTTACTCCTCAGTGGCTTACGAGCATCGATAATATTTAATATGTATAATGCGTATTAATGACGTGGAGAAGATTGTCAATATTATTCGCTTAACGATGCACATCATCCGCTCACGTTCTATCGCAGCAACTTCAGAATTGTATTTTTTTTCTTTTTATATCAGCATTTGGCTTTGCGTTAATCGACGTTTTTAATATTTCCATCGGCCTAATTAGTTGGCGATTCATTCGGCTAATTAGAATGCGAAAGCAATAATAGAGTTCATTAAAGAATTGTAAAACTGAATATTATTTATAATAGCCGTGAGTGGCTTTAACGATTCTCAATTATTTGAATATACAGTTCTCGTCGAGCAATACTCGATTACAATAACGATACAGATAATTCTAAATAAACAGTACGGAACAATGGATGTTCCAGAATGCAAATGAATCCTATTTTTTATTACGTTAGCGTTGAAAATCGGTGAATCGTGCACGTAGAGTTTTGTAAATTCGCGCGATTATTACGACGATTGCTAAACTAAGCATAACCATTTTGGAAAAAACTAGGAATCGCCCAATCGTGACAAGCGACAGCGACAGATGTTTCAATGTTTGATAACAAAAATTACGCGATTGTCCGAAGCAAGAAAATGTATAGATTCCTTTCGATCTTCCCTCCAATCGATAATGGGCTCATCGCCGTCCAAGTGCTGTGAATTCGATCGACTGCGTAATTCGTGTTCTATTATGAAAAAGTATCCGCGATAGGAGTGTGTTGGAAATAATTCGAAAAACACTTAGTACACACCGTGTTATCTTATATCGCACGCCAATCATTTTCACGGATTCGCATCCGCGCGTCCAAACGTCATAAGACCATTTTGCCGCATTGAATAAAATTGGCCGTTAAAATTTCGAAAAGTATTCGATATCATTCGTTCATCTTACTATCCACGCCTTATCTACAAAGAAATAAGCAAAAAATCATAAAACGGGCATATCAGCTAAAGCCACTATCGTGGAGGTGAAAAGTCCAATTCCCCTCGAAAAAATCCCGAAAATTGTAAGAGGCGTATGGCGCATCTGATACGAAAGCCCTCGGTCGTCCCGTCCATATCAATTCGTGTAGACGCTTATCGCTGATAATATCGATTGCATCAGCATATAAATACCGAGTTTGGGGGGGGGGGGTTGTAATTTCGTCACGGCTACGCCGAATACCAAATGTATGGCATCAGACCAAACGGTCACACGTAGAAAATTGTACGGATACATGGAATCTCGAATCGTTATTACAACCTCCGCCCGTTGTTCCTCGATGGCCCGTAGCTGTAGCGTGCGATTGTGCACGCGACTCCTAGACATCGGCTGATCGCTGCCAAGACGATGCGTCGCTCGATTTCGTTGTATGCACTGCCGTTGCATGCGCCGTTCGATGCGAAACGATAAATTATGCATGAGAGATGCCGATGTAGAGGCTAGAAATGGCCGTGCGTGCCCGGCTCGTGAATCTCTCTCTCTCTCTCTCTCTCTCTCTCTCTCGCTCTACATGCTTCCATTCCAGCGTGGAATTTGCAATTTTAAAGGAGGCCCGGTTTATTCACCAATCACCCAGCGTCGCTTTGGCTTTTACTTAGCCAATGTATTTCGCTTATCGCGCTCCTTTTTTTGTCAGCTTGGATTTTGAGTAATTGCACGGATGTTTATGATAGTCTTTGCGACAAGAGCATCGTTATGCAACGAATGAGTTTTCGCGTTGATGGGAAAACGCGCACTCGTTTATGCGCAAGCGCGCGCGCGCGTGCGTACATAAGAGGCATCGGCATGAGTATCGACATGTTGCAATGTAGAGATATTCGATTAATAAACGACCATTGGATATACAATGATGTAGACTATCCAGACGTAATTTCACCTTGATGCACATCAAATCTCTATAAATCTATAAAATTTCGTTGGATCGTTTATTTATATCAATTTCACGCTTACGGTACTCTATATACATTATTGTCGTTAAATAAATTTTTATCGCTAGCTGAATATGTTATTAAGCGACTGAGTTACGTATATATTGACGGTGTGATTAATGGTCGCTATTTAATTAGACTAGGTAAGTCTTACGTTAACTAGATCCGTGAAATTTAAAAGATTTTTAATCTTTAATTTGACGTTAAAGTTTCTCAACGATATATCGTACTCGCTTGAAATGAGTAGAAAAAAATATAAATAACAAGTCGCGATCAAACTATTATTCTTTTTTCCCTCTTCTACTTCTTCTCCTTCTTCTTCTTCTTCTTCTTCTTCTCCTTCTACTTCTTCTTCTCCTTCTACTTCTTCTTCTTCATCTTTTTTCTTCTCCTTTATTTATACCTAAATGTTGCGAGAGTGGACTTTTCACTGCATTATTTCAATTATTTATCAATTAATAATTTATTATCAACTAAATACGAATATGTCTTATCGCGAATATCTTTTACATTTAAGGTACTGAGCAATTGCCAATATCGATTACCAATAAATATATTTATCTAAATATTTTGTAGCAGATAGCATTCAATTAGTAATCTTATTAGATAACGCATAACCGGCAGAATAACAAATTATATAACATTTTCAAAAGATAACCGATAACGGTTATTAATGTGTATTATAACTACAATGAAAATAGTTGGTTTTGTTCGAATGTTTCACGAGAATTAAAAATCTCTATATTTAAATACCGCGGAAAGTTCCACGTGAATATCATACGTTATGGTATTTTGTAGATGGTTACGATTCAAATTATAAAATTACTCAAAGTAACATTGTATTCAAAACACCATATGCAATTTATACGGTACAACTTCGTGTTCATAACAATTATTATACACCTACGAAGAGATATCTCGTCACATCGAACCAAAGTCCCGTAAAGGCTATTACAAGTCTCTATAAAGATCATCGTCCTTATTACATCCGATAAACTTTTTCAACGCACCCAATGAAAGTCCACAAGGCCAAACCCAAGCTCGTTATATTATTACAATTCAAGGCCAAGCGTGTGCCTTCACATACAATTGTATATTATCGTGTAATTTCTTATAAACCCAATTCGTTTTATAAGCTAAAGGTGGGTAAAAGAAAAAAAAGAAAAGAAAAAAAAATAATAACTTGATTAGTCATTACTTCCCATGACACAATCTGATTTAAAATTCGCTTTACGCGTAGCACAGATATATGTATAGATATGAGATATATAAAGACTCGGCAATGTTCCCTCAACAAAAATATATTCATGAATGCGAGAGAAGCGTCCCTGTAAAATCATATTACATCGCGCTACTCATTCTCGGTTATACTTCCAAGTCAGCGTGGTGGCTCATATTTTTCTTATGATTGACTGTACCGAGGATGAGTGTATGCTTCACAGGTATTGTAACGTGTCCGAAGAATGGCGGATGTTGAGTTTCCGTTCGGTCGAATGGTACGAATTAAGAGGACAAATATTCCGTTATTAGCATTATTATTATTATTATTGTTGTTGTTGTTGTTGTTGTTGTTGTTAAAATTACTAATATTAATAATTATTATTAATAAGTTGCTCGCGCGTTGATGCGATAGATGATCATCCGAGTAACTAAAATTCTATTTATTGATTTACATGTAATATAATTGTTGAATTGTTGCCGGTGATTATAATGTTATTGGGAATTTTTGTTGTTTGTTGATGAATTAAAGAATATATG